CCCAAGGCGGTGTTCAACTAGCAGTAGTACTGTTAGTATTCATCTTCCTTTTTCTTCTTTTGTTTTGGTTTTTGGGTAAATCCAGTCTATGGAAATTCCGAGTCGCAGCAAATCAACCGGAAACCCTCTGCTTCTTTATCTTGGAGTCCTGACATATAATGGCTGATATGTACCGTACGTAGTTGTAGTTTTGAGACTGGTGTTGCAGAGCGCGAGTAATCTGTCAATGGGCCATCCGTTACCTTTTGCATATTTTTCCGCTCATTGCCAGAGACGGGAAGGCTTGATGGAGTATTCCCTCCCTCCCGGCCTCTCGCCGTTGTGCGGATGATGGGAGAGTGCGGTGGTTCGAACCCACCGGAAGGGGTGAACTGGAAATACCAAGGTGTCCTTTTTTCTCCGTTTCCGCATCCTGGGTTCCGCGGCGGAAATAATAAAGTATCTTTTTCAGTTTGCAGGACCCCTGATTATCCGTAGGTAGGTCAAATCACAAAATGACCCTCAAAAAAAAATTGTCCGGACTTTGGGTTGTGCCCAGTTTGAAATTTTTGTCCGGATTTTGCGTCTGGTCGCCGCGTTGGACAATTTTTGTCCGGACTTTGCTTCTGACCTCAAAATCACCCCAAAAAATCGCGAAAAATCCCAATATATTACTAGACGTCGTCCTCATCCTCCTCCTCTACATTCAGAAGGCTTACAGTAGGCTTTCCTTTCCTCCGCACCATGTTAAGGCTTGAAACTGCCTTGGCCAACACTTCCCGCTCTGCTGAAAGTTCCTCGAACATCTCCTGGGCACGTAGACTGACCTCGACATGATCTCGGAATTCCCTAACAGTCTCCAAGTCGTCGTCCAGGGGGACGAGGGAAAGGAACGAATTGGGCAGCAAATGAGCGAACCGTAACGTTCCGAGTACTGCGTAGTTGCGATCAATGAATTTGAACTGCCGTCGATAGGAATGCATCATTTTATAAAAAGACTTGTTAGCGCGAGGCGTAGGTAGCTAAAAAGAAACCTAATTGGCTTTGGAAGGGACCGAACAAGGCAGAGCGAAAACACCAACATCACATTAAATGAAGTGAACAACCACTAGACTAAACACATAGCAGCAACCAGGAGCAAGGATATACCCTGTCCGGACTCTGATCTGACCTCTGCTCAGTGTGGACCAGTGTCCGGACGTTCGATCAGAGGTCTTCCACGCCGACCCTCGATTTGTCCGGACTTGACACTGACATACGCCCTTCAGATCCAAATTTTCGTCCGGACTCCTGATTTGACCTACCTACGGATAATCAGGGGTCCTCAGTTTGCGCACTCATCAATATGAACACACGTGGAATTCAAAACACACACTGTGTGTTTACAGTTGCTTTACAGAATTCGGCGCACCGAATTCTGTCCCTTGAAATTCAGCGAGGCGGGAAATCAATTTCTCGCGCTACATGTGCGGTTGTCTAAAACAAACGTGTGAACCAATCTCCCTTGAATCCGCTTTGGATACACCCTGCTGTGGAAGACGGCCACTTCGGATCACCCGGCATCCCGGCACAGCACCGCCCCCGCTTCCTTACGCCCACACCAACTCTCTTTGTTCTTTCCTCTTCCGTCTCCGCCACTGAGAGTCGTTCGCCCGTCATCCGGAATGCTTGAAATCTCGTCCCCAACATCGTCGTCGCCGCCGCCGCCGCCGTCCTCAGAGAACCCTAGCCCGTTCTATCGTCAGTCTCCCTTGCTCCCCGGGAACGCGAATTTGCGCTGACGAATTTGTGCCTGAATAAAGGCCTGGCATACGTGTTATCGCTCGCACAGGTAGCCGCTGCGCTCGGCACCATCTTTGTATACAGAGTCGACGATGCGCGTGAGTCTTCCTCTCTTCCTTTAGCATTCATTCGAATCCCGGGCGCTAACGAATGAAACAATGGAAAACACAGGCGGCGCCGCCTTCATCTCCCTCCTCTGCGCCATAACAACCTTCTACATGGTCCACCTGCTCATCCCACGCACCCTCCAGTGCGACACCGACCCCGTCTCCCGCCTCAACAAGCAGTTCGTTATTGTCAATTTTCTGCTGTTCTGTTGGGTTCTTTCTGGTGCGTTCTATCCTCTTGTTTTTTCTGGTTCTCTCTGTCGTATGGAACGTTAAGCTAATGCACGCACGCACCCCCGCAGTCTGAATGCTCCCCCTCACCGTCTCCCCGCACATAACGCACACCCTCGAGTCCTGCGCAACGTCCCACTTCCTCACCGTGTTCTGCCTCACGCTCGGGCTCTACATGACGATCCCCGTAGGGTTTATCGCAACGCGTGCGTCTGTTCCGCTTTCACCATCTTATCTCCCTTCCGCCGTTGCTGATCTTTGTGCCTCTCTTATGTCTACCTTCCTTATCCGGGTTCCATTGGACGGATTTGCAATACACACAGTCGCCGCCCTCTCGTACACGATCTACAGCACGGTGCCTATGGACCCCCCGAAACTCAAGTCTCTACCTTTGCCAATGACCCAACTTCCACTCGGACAATCCAAACGCATCAACACCGACGGAGAACAAAAAGAAAGTCAACACTCTAGGGATGGCCCTGCCGAAAAACGAGCAGGACGCGTGGACACCTCAATGGATTGTATGCAGTCTCGATGTGTGTCTGCAAAATATGTTTGTTCACTCGGAAGATGTAGTGCGCATATCGCCGGATTCTTCCGTAAAGAAGCCGCTCAAACCCGAAGTTCGGATTCAAGGTCCTGGTGACAATGACACCAATCCCAACGCAGTTCTAGTTCTTGGTAACCACGAAAGCGAAGTACTGGTTGAATTCTCTCACGGTTCGAATTCTGACACCTTTTTTGTTTTCAAGGTGTTCGTGTGCGCGTTTAATCCTGTAAAGCAATCGATCTTGGTGACTGGGTGGGATCCTCTAATCAGAACCGACATTCGTGCTATCTAATGCATCGTAGATCTAAAGATGCTGTCGTTAACCTTTGGGATCTTCCAAATCCCCCTCCTGCGACCTCAACCGACTTCGTTCAGCCCCCCGGGCCACCCCGGCAACTGGAGTACTTCGGAACCACAGATCAGGGCGACCTGATTGCTTTGCATTGGAATACCGAGGGCACATTAATTGCCATCGGCTCATATGACACCATTCTCCGTGTGTGTACCGTCGAAGGCGACCTTTATTTTTCGCACACGCAGCACCAAGTAATTATCCTCGAATAAATTTATTCCTACCGTGTATTGATCACTCGCAAAGGGTCCTATATTTGCTGTCCGCTTCTCTAAAGACGGCAAATGGCTACTAACAGCCAGTCTGGACGGCAGCGCTTGTCTATGGGATGTCGCGCGGAAGGACCTCGTTAGGCAATATCGAGCTCACACTGGTAATCCCATTCCCGAAATCTATCCCGGTAGAATTAATTGGGTGTTGCTTTTTTTTTTCAATCAGATTGCTGTCTAGACGTCGACTGGTTATCCGACATGTTGTTCTCCAGCTGTTCTGCGGATCAACTCATCCACATAATGCAGATAGACAAAGCCGACCCAATCGAGATACTAGCGTGCGTCAGGCCTTCCTTCCTGTCTTCAAGATCCGAAGTTGCTCACGTTGAGCAACAGCGGTCATACTAACGAAGTTAATCAAATTAAATGTAATCCGTCTGGAACACGCCTCGCATCGTGTTCAGATGATATGACTGCGCGCATATGGAAGATCGAGAACCTATCGACGCCGCCATCGCCCGCTGATTCGATACCTGGCTTGGGAGGCGAGTTAATCGAACGGGAGCAGCCGATCGTTTTGGCTGGACACAAGCACTCGGTCAGCACCATAGGGTGGTGTCCAGACCATCCTGCGGGGACGAACGAAATCATCGCAACGTAAGTTGAACAAAAAAAAACGGCATCTCATCGAGAAGAAATTCAACCGTGACTTACATGTAACGAAGTTCCTCGTTCGACGGCACTGCCCGGTTGTGGGACTCTGTCACTGGGGAGTGCCTCCATGTGTTCAGTGATCATAAACGGCCAGTGTGCGTGCTCAAGTTCAGCCCGAGTGGGCGTTGGCTCGCGACGGGGAGCGGAGACGGGTGGTTGTACGTCTACGACGTCAAGGCAAGTCGTTATACATTCCCAATTTTAGTTCAGTAACTCAAGCTCCTCTATTCAGGGCCGGACGGTAACATGGTCGTGGTTTGCCGGATACGACAAACCAGGTGTGTTCGAGATTGACTGGCAGATGGGCGAAAATTTGGATCGCATCGCTCTGGCATTAGAGTGTCGGAAAGTCGCCGTTATCGATGTTTCGAAGGTTCCTGCCCTTCAAAGCAAATAGTTTTATGTTTATTGTACTACACATACAGTGCATTGGGTTGCTGTACCAGGGCCACATTTATTCTGACGATTTTCGGCAGACGAACCACATGTGCAATTGTGTCGATTACAACTGGGCACGTTCCGAAACGAGAAGAGTATATGTAACCACGATAAAGAAGTGATGGCCCATAGCGATGCGTCAGCAGCTAGTGAATTCTTACTCCATAATCGGGTTCTGTAAGCGGGGGAGTCGACCATGCGAGTCCATCCGAAGATCTGGCTATTGATTCTCGAGTAATTATTTTGTACATACTGTACGCACAAATCGCACAAATAGGCTTGGTGCAGAGGCGTATAGTGCATAAGTAGTTTTCGTTCTCTCTTCATCGGGAAATCGGCGGTGGCCGCTTGGCCCCGCGCGTGTTCCAGACCGACCTTATTTCTTTTATTAAAATCATTTTGGAGTCTGAGTCAAGTCGTTCGCTGGCGTATACCTTGATTTGTGCCGGGGACTCTGGAGAGGCGACTCTGCCGGGCTCGAACACCTGTGGTTTCCAGCGCTATTCCCTACTTGACAAGGACTTACGCCATCCAAACTTAAACGGCTGCCCTTATTTCGGGTTGCTTAGTAGAATCCTCCCCTCTTTCCCCTCCATTTGATGATTCTCATATATTCAATATAAGAGGATAGGGAAGTCTTTGTAGAGTACGCAACTCGCTCCCGCTTCATACATAGTTCGCACATATGGAATAAGGGAGAGTCGGTGGTTCGACCCCACCCGAAGACTTACTGCCTTCCGTTTGTTAACTCCTTTTTTCGAGTCCGGCCCAGTGAATGACTACCTTTGTCGGTGAATTTCAACTCCGCAAGCTGGAGACTAGAATGGACTCGGAAAGAGGGCGAGTGGATGAACTGTACTGCGTTCGTGTCCGAGTCCACGCATTTCCTCCCACCGCCGTTGATCCGTCCTCATGTGTCGATAATGTTATTATGCGGCAACAACTGCCCAATATGTTTTCGTGGGGGACTAGAGTCAGTGCCTCCCTATGCTCTCTTAAAGCGGGAGAGTCGGTGGTTCAATCCCACGCGTTGACGTATGTCTTGAATAATTTATCTTTTTCAGATGAACTTACCCCGGGCCATCCCCGCCGCAGACTTTGGGATTCGCTCCCAAATATTTCCTCGCCTGGTGAAATGGCTGTATTTAGAAAGGTGGGGAACTATTTTATCGAGGACCCAAAGTATGTAGTTCGGCCTGCGGGGCCCCTTCAATCCGAATGAAGGAAAACAGCGCACACCTTGTTTTTCCAGCCCATATCCGGAGATAGGAGAGGGTGGAAGTCTTCGTAGAGTGAGGAACTCGCTCGCTCCGTGTGATCTTGATGATAGTGGTACGCGAGTGGGAGAATCGGTGGTTCAACCCCACCCGAAGACATCAATGCTCTGCCTTAGCTGTGGTTTTTTGTATGTACAGTATATGCACACGAGTTACAATCCTCCATGTGAGTGGGAAAACAGTCTCATGGTGGAGTTGTAATAAATTAAAGAACGTTGATTTCAAATTTGTTTCTGATATATATTTAGTTCAGGATTCCGGTTTTGCCTACGTTGCCGTTGATTTATTCTCTCATATGGGAGGGAGTAGCACGGTAGGGAAGTCTTCGTGGAGTATATACGAAACTCACTCCTCCCTGTGTCTCTTCTGCAGGCGGGAGAGTCGGTGGTTCGAATCCATCCGAAGATCTCGATATCGATCATTGACCAATTCTTTTTGTACATGCTGTACGCACAAACACGCTTGGTGCATAGACGTGGAGTAAATGACTAGTACTAGCATGTACCCTCTTCATGGGCGGAATAAATGGGCCGTGGCGGGTTGACCCCTGTGCGTCCTTCAGACCGACATTATTTCTTTTATTAAGTTATTATGGAGTCCGAGTCATTTGCGGGCACCTACCTTGATTTGCCTCGGGACTCAGAAAAGGCGACCGGGCGTCCCGGGCCGGCAGATCTGTTTTGACCAGCAGGGAGCGACATGCGAAGGGTGGCGCTTATTTCGTACACATCTGAGTCCTCTGCTTCATACTCGCAATTTGGCTTATCGAGAGTGAGTGAAATCTAGTCGCACTACATACGACTTAGTTCAATTATATAAACTAAACTCACATATTAACACGCTCCCATTGTTAGCTGTTGGAATCGTACTCGGAGACCCCCACTTCTCATCGAGCCCATTCTGGACCTTCGTCTCCTCGTGCGCCAAGACACATTTCATGAGCAGCGGCAAATGCGCGGGGATGGGGATCACCCTGCTCCTCCCCGTCGTGAACCTCCTCCTCAGTGAGCCCGCATGCGCAGTATCCTTCCGATAACTACATACACATACACCCGGATTTAATCGCCTTTTTTTAGTCCTGGGAACGGCGTGGACGATCTATCGCCAGGCGCGCGCAGAACACCCCGGTTACCGTGAAGTCGAACGTCCACCGCACCCGCCGCCCGAGGTGGTCGCCGCGTGGACTGTCGCACGCGTTGAAGACCTCCGGATCGGGCGCCGTCGGCAGCGCAGCACCAACAAGGACATCGAGGAGGCTGCGAATTGAATCCGATGTTTTTTTTGGGGCGGGAAGTTGAAAGGCTGACGGTATGTGGTTGTCAATGTGTCGATTCTTCAACTTGAAGGAATGAAAGCTTGTATTCCCATCTACATTCTTGTTGATATTAGTACCTGGTCATTGACTCATTGGAACGAAATGTGCAGAGAGCTGAAACGCTGCCACAGATGCTTCTAGTTCTTCTTCCTTCCTCCTCGTCGTCTTTCTTCTGCTCATTCTCATTCTCAACCTTACCCACATGCCCACGCCCTCAGCCCACAGCAACGAGCGTCGCGACGAAGAAGGCGAATCCTATGAACCCCATTAACTAATGAAATACGTGTATCGGCCTGTTGGCAAGGTAAATTGAGTATAGGGTTTGGATGTGGTGAGACGTCCGACTTCACGCAAATGATAGTTGTAAGCAAAATAATTTAGATTCATAGTAGATATTACAGTGGCTTAAATACTACTCAGACACAGCCTTGTGAGTCATAAGCATGCAGGTGAGTTTTGGGGTCCAAGAGTAAGTAAACAAGTGATTCAACCCGTGGTGTCGGGTGGATACCCACTCCGATCCGAGTCCACAGGAAAAACCCACACCTGCCGCAGATGTATTGTCACGTATCCAGGGAATTGGCCGGATAGAGAAGTGGCCAACAAACTCGGTCCCTCCCATCCCGTACGTCAATTGGAGCAAATAATGGATTAGCACCTCTTAAGTTCCGGGTGAAATCACCGCATTTTGGACTTAAGTTTCGGTGGATCTCAAGTCATCTCTTTGTATCATATAGCACTATTAGCTGGGATAATGATCTTGCCCCATGCCATCTTAGACTTAAGTCATGGTAGAGGAACTTGAGTTCTGCGAACTTAAGACTTGAGATCAGTCAACTTAAGACCCCGCAACATAAGACTTGAGCAGAAAAACATAGAACTTGAGATCTAAGAATACATACAGTACTTACGTACTTCAAGAACTTGAGTTATTTAAAACTTAAGACTCGAGTCTCCATGGAACTTAAGTTCTACAGTCGCTTCAGTTCTGTCCATGGACTTGAGTTCCTGCGCAACTCAAGTTCTGTGAAGTCGATCTTCAGTTCCGTGGTGCATATTAGAAGCCGGCAAATCTCGTACCTCGTTGTAGACCCGCGCGCACCTTTGACAGGAGACATCTCCACATACTCGTAGTAGAAATTCATTAGCTCCATTGCCTCCACCATACAGGAAACACAAAGCTTACCTACGTTTCCCGCCCCACTAACTCGGCTTGCTGTAGCATAACTAATAGAATCAATGAATACGTGTGACGAGAGGAAGAAGGATCAATACCGGTGGCATGTTGGCATTCCTTCGGGGTGTAGGTGGGTCCCTGGGGATGCATGAATGTGAAGTCTTGAAGTAACGAGGGTAAATGGGCACAGTCAACCATCCAAGTTGTACCGAGAAACCTCGGTCGACGTGGGTTCGACTTTGGTGGTCGAGAAGAGAAAGTGGCAGACACAGCCACTTGATTGATGCGGCTTTCGAGCCGGTTTAGGTCGTGCCACCTGACAATCACGGCCAAACAAACCTTCTTTCTCCTCTCTCATCTCCACACAACCCCCGTCTTGCTCCCCTCCATCATCTGGGCTCCGGCACACGATAATCACTCCCAAAATAACCTCTTCTCTATGAGGTTTATCCTACCATGAGCCTCTGTCTTAGCCACATTGTCGTGCACACCAACTGGCAACTGCTACTCAGCACACATTCCCCCAAGCTATTCTTTGCTTTCTGCTCATCTGATCCTTGTCGGCGGCATGGTCGAGCCGCTCTCGTTCAAGATTGATGGGTGGCATGACACGATAGATGTTGGTGAGTGCCACAGGTACATCAGCATGTTCGTTGCTTATTAACTGGGCTTTAAGGTCTACATAGAGTGTCTTCAAGTGGATGGACGACATGGTAACCCAGCTCCTCCTTCCACATGTACTATTGTTCACCCTGGATTAGGATATACATCGAGCGTACAAGGGTTTCTAGTGTGATACGTAATGCAAATGCGGCAACGGTTTTTGTACGTTTCTTTTGCTAGCGCGGGCTGACGACCTGCAGATTCCGGCCAGACGTTCATTAGGTGTCCCGGAGCCACCACCCATGCTCAGTAAGTCCGTCAGCAGCCTGGTCCCCGAGCTCATCGTTGCATAGCCACTCTGCCCTCAACGCGCACTCGAGTTCTCTTTGGACTTGAGTTCTGTCGGACTTAATTCCATGCTTAAGTTCTTTCGCACTTAAGTCTGGTATCTATCTGAACTGAACTAAAGTTATGGGCTACAGTGAAGGACTTAAGTTTGGGAGGATCTTAAGCTCTAGGAACACTTAAGCTCCTCGTCGGGACTTGAGCCATTGACTTGAGTTGTTTCGCACTTAAGTGCTCAAATCTTGTGGAACTGAATTGCAGTATCTATTTGAATTGAATTACAGTTATGGGCTACAGTCAAAATCTTAAGTTCGAAGGATCTTAAGCTCGAGGAGCACTTAAGCTCCTCGAGTATGGCAAGGGAGCCCACCCCGGGTGCCCTGCGGACTTCCTGCATCGGTGCCGAACTTGAGTTCCCGCAGAACTTAAGTTCCGTTTGCGATGATTTCACTCGGAACTTAAGATGGGCTAGTCGTATTTCATATTGGAGGTGGGAGAGCCGGTGGTTCGATCCCACTCGAAGGCTTGTACATCTTCCACACCTTATATCTTTTATTTTTGGCGTGAAACGACTCTTGAGCTCTACACGAAGCCATGTGCTTTTAGGGCTGTTTTCTCTTCAACGCCTACTCAAATTATTTGGGTCTAACATCAGTTTGGGCAGCCGCCGAGTTGTTCTTCTATCAAGTTGGTTTGGTCCCTTGTTGCGTCTGGAGCTGTGCTTTTATCTCCCATACTTAGGGTAAGGAGTCTTCGTAGAGTATGAAACTCGCCCCTTCTTCATTTGATCGGCTCGTCGGCGTGAGCGAGGAGAGTCGGTGGTTCAAATGCACCCGAGGACATCCACAATTGCCACTTGGCCACTGTTTTGTTCGATTTTCCTTGGTTCCGGGGCTCCTCGAATATTAATTGAATACTTAGGTTCAGAAAAGAGCTAGATTAACTTCCGTGGTTCTGCTCATGCAAACTTGACCCGTCAGCCTTTTTTCTTTCTCTCGGCCTCCTGATTCC